CCCTCATCCTTTCCTCTTAGCTCACTATCCCCTAATGTTTCAGAGACATCTGATTTAAGAAACTGACTTTCCATTTAATGTGATTCTGAGCAAACTGCTTAATTTCTGTAAGCATCAGTGTTTCCCTCTGCAAGATGCTCATAAAAGAATAATAGCATCTATCTTTTAGAATTAAATGCCATAAAGTCCATACGATGCTTGGCAAAGAGAATGCACTCATCAAATGGTAGCTTCTCTTATAATTAATGAAGATGTGGTAGGAATCTGATGGCAAAGGCTAAGAGATATGATGGCCAATCTGTCTTTTTTTACTTATTACCACTCTTAACCAAGTGGTAAGTATCCCAGGTGCTATAACCAATATACTAGAAGGTGGGTGACTTATAAACAACACACTTTTATTTCTCACCGTTCTGAAGGCTGGAAGTCCAAGACCATGGCACCAGCTGATTCTGTGTCTAGTGAGGATCCACTTTCCGACTCATAGATGGCCATCTTTTCTCTGTGTCCTCGCAGGGTGGAAGGGGCAAGGGATCTCTCTGGGCCTTCTTTTATAGGGGCACTAATCCCAGTCGTGAGGGCTCTGCCCTCTTGACCTAATCACCTCCCAAAGGTCTCACCTCCACATACCATCGCATTGGGGGTTAGGATTTCAGTATATGAATTTGGAGGGGGGACACAAACATTCTATTCATGGCACTTACCTCCATCATCAACTTACTGTGTTTGAAAAGTAGGTCCCACAAACTAAGCTCTGTTTTAAGAAAAATCACTTCTGTGTCAACATATATTTATTGAACATTTTGAAAATCATGTTTATGTTAGTTTACAAATATATGTGGAACATCTGTTGTATGCAGAGCATTGTATTAGACCATGTGGGGTAGATGCTGGTGATCATCGTCTTATCCTTGAAGTTTCAACCTGGTGATCAGAGACATAACACAAACACAGAAACTATATGGTGAAACACCTAAGATGCTCAATGCCTGCCTGGTCTAAGAAGGTTCATTCTAATTGCAGAGTTCCAGGCCCAGCCTTTGAGGAGATGGGTCATGACAGTGGATTGGTTAAAAGAACAGGAAAGAATATTCCTAGCAGAGGCAATCATTTGTTCAAGGGAAGGAGTCAACTAAAGGGTTGCCAAGTGTATAATGAAAGCAAGAAAAATGGCTTGACTGGAAAGGAAGGGACAAGACCGGAGAAGGAAAGGGCTCCTGGGAGGGATGAGGAATGTGGGGGGCAGGGGTGTAGTGGGTGTGCATGCTAACCAGGCTGAGGACCTGGGTAGGATAAGCTAAGCCCTTACGAGGGACTCTGAGGCGTTTCTGGGACTAGAGGTGGGAACAGAAAGGTCTGGAGTCTCTTACGATGTCTCACACTTAGGAGGAGGCTGTTTCTTCCAGGCCAGTATCTCAGGTACTTGTCTGGATGTGGCCAACTATAGAATAATTTCAGTAACACTGCTAGACAGAGTGCCCAACAGTATTACAGATACAGAGCACCAAAAGATATCTGGTCAGATACAGAGAATTTCATGGAAGAGGCAGGGTTTAAACTGGATATGTGCTACCAGCATATTCTATTTTGTTAGTTGGTGCAGGGGCTGCTGAGGAGTGTTGCCTTTCTGGGTTTCCCAAAGGGGTTGAGGACTCAGACGTAACTATCTATGGACTATGCCCGCCTGGGCACGTGTCCAGGTATGGAGTTCCAGGGCTGTGGGCATTTCTTTGAGATTGTGGTTTCACATGGCTCATCAGTGTGTCCCTGGAATCAGTGATTCCAGAGCGAATCAGCCCTTTCTTTCTTTTTTTATTTTTTTAAATTTTTTTTAAAGATTTTATTTATTTATTTGAGAGAGAGAGAATGAGAGACAGAGAGCATGAGAGGGGGGAGGGTCAGAGGGCGAAGCAGGCTCCCCGCCGAGCAGGGAGCCCGATGCGGGACTCGATCCCGGGACTCCAGGATCATGACCTGAGCCAAAGGCAGTCGCTTAACCAACTGAGCCACCCAGGCGCCCCTTGAATCAGCCCTTTCTACTGCCAATGAACTCTTGACCCTTCTGCTGAGCCTGCCAGCAAGGATGTTAATTAGTGCCAACTATAACAGTACATCCCACCCCCCCTTTCTTTGTGTGCACCTGTTCTCTGGGAACTGGAATGGGACCAACCCATTTCAT